CGAGGATCACATGACACGTGAAAATTATTTTGTGATGGTGTTAAAGATATACGAAGGTCAAAGCTAATTTTTTAAATGGAATGGTATATTTTTTATTCCAGAATTTTATTTTGCCTAAGAAAAGGGGTAATTTTCGTTGGAGACATTTTGGGGGATATTATAATACTATAAAATTTCAACCCCGGGAATTTATTAAAGCTAAATTCTGTTTCGGACTATTGAAAGATAATTTAAGTTATTGAAATTACAAATCTAAATTATAAATGTTTCGAACGCTTCGAAGCAGTTTGAATTTTCGAAAATACAGCAATATTCGTAGAGTAAGGGAAGAACCTGTTTCAGGTCGATATCGTACGGCATTGATTGATGCTCGAGTTCTTTATCTCTCCAAAATATCTCAAGTTTCTGCTCCGGAAGTTGAAACATTTGTATTTTTACGTTCGACTGATTTTATAACCTCGCTACATCCTCCGAATCCACTATACTCAACCGTATGGTTGATTCTCGTAAAAAGCAGCTGGGCAATCAGAGTAGAAACTCGAGAAATTAAGAAAAAAGAAAAAAGGAAGAAAAATAAAGTAAAGCATACTAACGAATCCAGGAATAATCATTATTTTTATCTTTCTAGTACTAAAATGTAAAAGGTCGGAATATTTACACTTCACCTAATCGATTACATAACATTGCCATAACTTTACACCTTCGATTTACTAAAATCGTCATTAAGTATTCATTTAGCGTCATTTCGCTTGGTATATCGTGCGAAAAATCTTTAGAATTACTATCCATCCGACAAACTGACCAAGAATTATACCGAAATCGAGGAACATTGCAGAATCCAAAAATTGAAACTTGAAAAATGAAGAATAAAAAGGAAAGGGGAGTAAAGAGAAAGGTAATAACGAATCTAAAAATAGCCGCAATCGTAATCACGATAGCTTGGAACGGGAACGAAGGAAACTAATGTACACGAGCACACGATCCAAGCGCCGCAAGCACGATCGTGTGAACCGCGAAAGTAGGAGAAGATGCCGGTAAAATTAGATGCACCTCTTGTTGCTCCTCGCCGTTCCTCATCTTCCACGCGTGCGAACGCGGCGTGAAAAGCTTCGTGGAACGGTTTTTGGGGTCAAGGAAAGCGGTGTGAACGGCTGGCTGATTCCTGTACTCCGTTCGATTTTCTAATTTCCGGAAACGCGTTCGCCAGCACGGCCGCACAGTGGCGCCCTCGCGCTCATTCATACGTGCACGAAGGGGCCACGAAGGGTATTCACAGGTGCCCAAGTATCCCTGAATACTTGCATCGGCCAGGAGCCAGACCACTGACGACTCTATTTACTCTCTGTTCAATCCCGCGCCCGGTCCGTGGTCTGCGGATGAGGTACGTGACGTCAAAAGTACGGGAATCCTTTAGGCCAGAGTAGCGACGGGAGTTCCAGGTACTTCCGACGGAAATTCGAAGCAGTTTCAATTTTTCAAACGGCCTGTCCGTTGATTTTTGGACGTGGACGCTTTGACCAACTCGGTTGGCAACTCGGCCGATGTCGTGGTCCCCTGGAAACGTGTTTCGACGTTTCACGATGTCACGGATAGCTCTAGCAGAGATGTGTCTATGAGAGGTGTCTGGAATTTTGCTATCGACAGATTGGATAGTTTCCGATTGGTTGATCGATTTATCGTTTTCTTTGTCTCGTTCCGAGTTCTTCGTACTTTTCGTCGCTTCCGTTGGTCAAAGCTCTAGGGTAGCTTCATCAGAGATGTGTCTATGACAGCTGTTTGGGTCTTTGGATGGGAAAGGTTAAGAATTTTGGTATCGATTAGTCGATCCATCGTTTCTTTTGTCTTGTTGTGAATTCTTCATGTCTTTCCTGGCTTCCGTTAGTCAAAGCTAGGGTAACTTCATCAGAGATATGTCTACGGCAGCTGTTTGGATCTTTTTACAAGATTTGGATAAGAAAGGTTAGGAATTTTGGTACCGATTAGTTAATCAATTCATACGATCCAAGCGCCGCAAGCACGATCGTGTGAACCGCGAAAGTAGGAGAAGATGCCGGTAAAATTAGATGCACCTCTTGTTGCTCCTCGCCGTTCCTCATCTTCCACGCGTGCGAACGCGGCGTGAAAAGCTTCGTGGAACGGTTTTTGGGGTCAAGGAAAGCGGTGTGAACGGCTGGCTGATTCCTGTACTCCGTTCGATTTTCTAATTTCCGGAAACGCGTTCGCCAGCACGGCCGCACAGTGGCGCCCTCGCGCTCATTCATACGTGCACGAAGGGGCCACGAAGGGTATTCACAGGTGCCCAAGTATCCCTGAATACTTGCATCGGCCAGGAGCCAGACCACTGACGACTCTATTTACTCTCTGTTCAATCCCGCGCCCGGTCCGTGGTCTGCGGATGAGGTACGTGACGTCAAAAGTACGGGAATCCTTTAGGCCAGAGTAGCGACGGGAGTTCCAGGTACTTCCGACGGAAATTCGAAGCAGTTTCAATTTTTCAAACGGCCTGTCCGTTGATTTTTGGACGTGGACGCTTTGACCAACTCGGTTGGCAACTCGGCCGATGTCGTGGTCCCCTGGAAACGTGTTTCGACGTTTCACGATGTCACGGATAGCTCTAGCAGAGATGTGTCTATGAGAGGTGTCTGGAATTTTGCTATCGACAGATTGGATAGTTTCCGATTGGTTGATCGATTTATCGTTTTCTTTGTCTCGTTCCGAGTTCTTCGTACTTTTCGTCGCTTCCGTTGGTCAAAGCTCTAGGGTAGCTTCATCAGAGATGTGTCTATGACAGCTGTTTGGGTCTTTGGATGGGAAAGGTTAAGAATTTTGGTATCGATTAGTCGATCCATCGTTTCTTTTGTCTTGTTGTGAATTCTTCATGTCTTTCCTGGCTTCCGTTAGTCAAAGCTAGGGTAACTTCATCAGAGATATGTCTACGGCAGCTGTTTGGATCTTTTTACAAGATTTGGATAAGAAAGGTTAGGAATTTTGGTACCGATTAGTTAATCAATTCATCGTTTCCTTCATCTTGTTCCGAATTTTTCGTGCCTTTCGTGGCTTCCGTTGGCCAAAATCAAGATAGCTTCAAGATTCACCAAAGACATGTCTGTCAAAGCTGTACTAATGTCTTAGATAGGAGGTGTTTGGAATTTTGGTATCGGTATCGATATTCACAGGATGAACTTCGAGTATCTGAGTGATTCATCGTCTACTTTGTCTCATTTCGAATTCTTCGTGCCTTTCGTGGCTTCCATTGACAGAAATTAGGGTAGCTTCATCAGAGATGTGTCTGTTAGAAATGCAATGCACCTTGGTATATACCAGACAGGCTTCGATCAGCTAACTAATCCAATATTCCAGCATCTTCCGTTTCCTTCTAGACTCTCCATGTCCTTCATCTCTTCCATTGACCAAACTCAAGCCAGCTTCATCACAGCTCTAGTCTCTGCTAGAGGTATCTTTAGGAACATTAGCATAAACACACTTAATTAACTAGTCCCCTATCCCAGGTGTCTTCGTCTCTTCCATCGACCAAACTTACGATAGCTCCACCAAACTCAGAGGTGGCTTCAATAATACGTTATTTTGATCAGACATTTCGGAACGCTGGTATCCCCATTCCTATCATCCAACCAATCCACGTCTTTTTACTCCTCTTACTCTTCTTCTAAACTTTCTGCGTCTTTCGGGGCCACGAGAGTCTAGGAACCAAGCGACTCGATGAACAGGTCAGCTCCAGGAGCACTGTCGAAGAGCGGAAAGGTAGATATAAAGAGAGGAACGAAGGGGGATCCAAGAGGGAAGTGTTACTGAAACTCCGATCGCTGTTAAGCGGATTTACGATGGCACGTGCGGACGTTTCACGAGCACAGTGGAGCAGATAATGACGTTAAGAGGATCCGGGAGCTTGCGGTGTCCCGGTTGCAAGCGCAGGTCCGACGAAAAGTATGCGTCGCGCTGGCATAAACGTCCGTACCCCAACGACACCCTGCGCAGCGAAATCGTATTGTTTAGACGGCCGATGAATATTCACGTGCACAGTTCGGTGAATCGTATTATCGAGCTTGTTGTGTGGCGTTTGTCTCTTTGATATTCGGCGTGTGTCGCGTGCGGGTCACTCGCGATTACACCGCTGGTTACTTGTTGAATATCTATGGCTAACGCGATACATCGTCGTCGACCATGCGCAATTATTCGCTGGTTAATCGTGATTCGCTCTTTTCATGGATTTTCCTCAGTAGGGTAAACAGGTCGTTTGCGATACGTCATTGGAATTGTTACGATCCGAGGGACAAATGAGACTTGGCCAGTTTGCTGATACGGTTCCGGAATGGCGAGGAGGAAAAGAGTGAAAGAGAGAGAGAGAAGAAAGAAAGGATCCTGAGTCAGTTTGGGAATTGGTGAAGATTGTTGGCAGGTGGAGAATGGCGGAGAGGCTACGAGGAGAGCGGAGACCAGGTCAGAGGACCTATTTGTATGGATGGGATAGTTAGGAGAGGACTTTCGAGAGGCTTGTTGGTGTAGATCGCTTTGGTGGTAAAGGCAGAAGGTCTGTTCCACTGTTGTACCTCAACTGACATGGGTCACGTGTAGATCTCCCGTCGATATCGCGAAACGTATTCGTCTCTTCGTATTGTTCCAATTAATTAAGCTCTCGCTCGTTGCACGGACGAAAAATTACACCCCTCGTGGCGTGGTCTTGCAGGGAACCGAAGCATGGAAAGAACGCGTGGAAACGAGAAAGGTATTTTTCGAACGTAAAACGAAGATTCGGTGATGTATGGTGCTTCGTGCTGCTTAGAGGGAAGATAGGAATTTAAGAGCTGGAATTCCGCAGGATGTTTCAGAGTTAAATGCTGACTTGGAAAGGTGAACGTGTAAAATCGTTGCGAATCGATTGGTTCTAACGTTGAAGGAGAATCCATCAGTGGCGTCGTGGAATGGATGCAATCAATCAAATACGATAGTTGGAGCGTAACGCTGGTTGAATTCTGTTTCAGTTACTTGGAGATATACAACGAGAGGGTGAGAGATCTTTTGAAGCCGTCCTCGAGCACAGGCGGATTGAGAGTTCGCGAGCATCCTCGACTGGGCCCTTATGTTCAAGGTACCGGCAATCGAACATTCGCTTCGAAATTCTGCAATTTCGATATAATTGTTAGCTAAAATAATCGTCAGCTTTGAGACCCCCATTCTATTCGTTTCGTTCCAATTCTCCACCAATTTTCCTCGAAATATTCCTTAAATATCGCATTCCTCGTCACTCTTAAAAGTGCCTCTTAATTGTTCATGAATTTCAAAATTTTTACTCGACTATCCTCTTTTGTAATAGATTAGGTTTATCCCGAGATCGTTGATGGGAAGATCCCACTCAGTTCTATCCATATTTTAATTTTTCGAAATTTCTTATTCTTTAAATACCGAATTTTTCATCATCTCTAAATGTTTTTATTCGTTGTTTGCAAATTTCCAAATTTCTAAATTTTTAATTACCCTTAATTACCTATCCTCGGACAGGTCTGACCAATTACCTGGTTTATTCCCTGTGATCACTAGCACGTCGATTGCAACGGTATTTTCCTGGTCTTGTTTATTTATTAATTATTCTGATTATTCTAATATTGATTACATTAATGATCATCGATTATAACGATATTTTGCTGATCTTGTCTATTTATTAATTATTCTGATTATTCTAATATTGATTACACTTGTGACACTGTAAACGTTTCTGTTCTCTCTTGTCACGCATTTTTATCGACCATGATTTTCCCTGTCAACGTGTCAACGTCAACAAGATTTTTCTCCATCCTATTCGTTTCATTTGATCATATAATCTTTCGTTAACTTTCTTAATTATCTCTGACAATTTGGAAAATTTTTGGTTATTCTTCCCATTTCGGTGCCAGGTCTGACCCATCATCTAGTCCGTACCCTGGAATCGTTGATGTCCTACGTGGAGGAGGGCACGAAGGCCCGGAAGACAGCGTCGACGTTGCAGAACTCGTGCAGCAGCCGCAGTCACGCTCTGTTGACGATCGGCGTCGCGGAGGCGTCGCAGGGCGTCGGGAACGGCGTCTCCTCGAGGAGGAAGGAGATCTTGCCACGCGGTGGCAGCAAATTGCGACTGGTCGATCTGGCGGGCAGCGAGAGCGCGGCCACGTGCAGCGGCGTTCATCGACTGAAGGTGAGTCACTTCCTAAAAATAATAACGTTGGCTCCAACCAACAGCCTGATCGATAAACCTTTTCGAGCAGGTTGAAATCGAAAAGCTACGTGATCGGCGAATTTCCTTCCCCAACGAGCATGGAATACGTGCTCGCCCTGTCTGCACTCTGTGAAATCTTTGTCGCGTTCTATTCGTTTGTCACGGGAGTAAATTAACGAGTCACGAAGAGTGACAATCTTTCGTTCAACGACGAGTATATTCGTCATGGAGAAGAAATAATTTGCTTTCGCTGTTTAAGGTAGAATATAGGTGAAATTGAAATTGAGAATATTTGCAATTTTAACAGGTTTTGGAATAATTATGTCAGATTATATAACCCTTTGCACTCGAGGATTTTTTGGCTAAAGATGAGTAGGAGTTCAAAGATTTTCTGCTATAAAGCTGACGATATTTTTTCAGCAATAAGTAAGAAATTGTATAATAATTAATATGTAGAATTGTTCGATTTCCATACCTTGCACAACGTTACATTATCTTAAATTTGATATATTAATTAATATATCAATGGCAAATGGCGACTGAAGGGCGCCTCTCGAGTGCAAAGGGTTAATACAAGTATATTTTTAATTTCTAAGATTCTTTTGATTGCCAATAGAAGGAATTTTAAATTCAACGAATGACGTTAACAAATTTTTCAAAATGTAACTAGACAGTTTTCATTTTGCCCTAATTCCTATCAATTTCATAGCATGGCGAACTTGCCTTGTTTTCCTCGAGTATACTCGTTGCTTAAAAATAATTAAGCAGGATGGCGTAGACTTTCGAAATTAAATAAAACTTTACATGGGAACCTGGAACGAAATTTTCAAAATTAAATGAATTTGGAATTACTTATATAAAATACAAATGCTCATATATAAGTCGATACTTTTCCTTTTGAAAAAATTAACTTTTTGCATATTAATCTCATTTTAAGGTCCAATTAACTTTCGGAGCCCTTGGGTGCCCCTAGATCTCTGATGGATTACCTAATCATGATACCAGATCGTGTAAACTAGGAACGAAGCAAGAAATGAAACAAAGACAAAATCAAAAGAAAAATCTTTGCAGAACTTCTTGCGTATTAATCCCATTTCGAGGCTCAATTAAATTTCGGGACCCTAGGATGTCCCTAGATCTCTGATCAATCGCCTACTTGCGATACCAGATCGCATCGATTAGGAGCGAAGCAAGACACGAAATAAAGATGAAATAAAAAAGAAAAATCTTTGTCTGACACGTATCTTTGCAGGAGGGCGCGAATATAAACAAGAGTCTAGTGGCTCTAGGGAACGTAATATCAGCCCTTGCGGAGAGAGGTACGACCGGAAGTGGTCCGGGCAGGAGGTTCATCCCTTATAGAGATTCTTCGCTTACTTGGCTGTTGAAGGACGCACTTGGCGGAAATGCCACTACCATTATGCTCGCCAGTAAGTGTCTTCTCTTTGATCTTCCCTTCTTCTGCTCTCACTTCTCCCTCACCCTTCCCTCGCCTCGCCTCTTCTTGTACCTCCTCTCCGCTTCCTCCGGCCTTCTTCACCCCCTTTTTCACCCCCGGCTCGTCGCATTTATTTTTACTAGACGCCACCTCGGTGTATCCACTTAAACGATGATTTACACGTTCAACGAGCAGCTTTCTTTTCACTCTGATTCGTCGCTAATCCGTTTATACGTTCGTTCCAGATTCGCTCCTCCAGATCTCGTCCCGTTCCATTCGAAACGTGGCTACTGCTCCGTTTCGCTCCTGTTCCCGAGGCCCGATCACCCCAGGATCGCGATATTTAATTTGGCAAGATGACTCAGCTTCCGGGACGCGACGAAAAAAAGAAAATGGCCGTCGCTTACCGATCTGTCCCTAGCCTCCTCCTGTCTCCGTCCACCGCACCCCTTCCCTCTCTCTTCCTGCTTAACTCGCAGCTTTCCATAAATTCCAGTTAATTGCCAGAGGAGAATTATTATCGCGAGCCTCTGATTCATGCAATTATACCCGCGATACTGGAGCCCAGACCCGGCCCGGATGGTAATTGGTTTAAATGCTTTTCCAGGCGAGCTAAGGCGCGGAGATTAAAATTCGATAACCGGCGCGAAAGCGTAGTGACGGGAATCGGTAAATACGGAATCCTTTAAGCTCGTCCAAGTCGCAGTTCCGCACTGCTCTCTCAACGTTTCAACACCGTTGGCCGACGTCGAACGTCCTCTGAAACGGTGCGAAACGCAACAACTTTAACGCGTAGATGCCTCGTAGATAGAACTCTGTAACGCGTCTACAGGGTGTTTCGGACAACACGGCTCCGAAAATTCGAGGGGTTGCAGCGTTCATCGAGAAGAGTAATCATTAGAGTCTAATTAACATAGATCTTACGATCAATCCCTTCCACGTGCAATCGACTTTTATTATACATGTACACTGTCAGTCTCGATGAAAGATTTGTTCACAGAAGCAACTGTGCTACAAATTTCCTTTGTAATAATATATTTTCTGTCAAAGTACACACATTCAATTGTAGACCCCATAAGCACTAACGCAACATGTCATGAAAATCTATTTTTAAGTAGCTTTTTATTTTTCATTTTTCTTAAGAAGAAATTGAAAGGATTCCAAGTTTGGATTAAATTAACCACGTGCGCTACCAATAAACTCACGGTTGCGATGCCGTGCGCTACAGTATAACACGCTGCAAGGTGTCACATTGACGCCGCGAGATACTGTATCGATTCTGAAATATTTCCAAGATATCGATGACATTATGCGACTCCATGCACTCTGGAACTGCAGCTTGAGAAATGAACGATCTAGTTGTTAGCCGACGTGCAGCCCACGTCATTTTTATTTCTGCGCTAAACGCCTATCGACGTGGTGTACACGTTGCTGACGATTTTGGAACAAAAGCATCTCGACGTGCGTGGCACGTCTTTCTAGCGCAAGTGGTTAATTTCCCTATTTATGTTACCCCTCAATATGTTACTGAGAAACTGTCGATTAAGGATGTTAAATTAATTACAATCGCAATTGTTGAACCACTTATTCGATCAGATTCATTCTCCGTTTTAATTATTATAATTATCCGTAACTGAATGTAATTTATAAAGAATCGCTGTTATTTAATTTTATATGTATATTACCAGTTTATATTATTGCAATTGATCGAATCGGAGGCAAAACGGTTGTACAGTTTACGAAATAAAAGTACGTCGATTAACCTGTGCATTCGATTACATTGTACGGTATAATCGAAAAAATGTAATCAGGCGATTTCCTATTCACTATACTAAATATTCGTGAATAATAAAAGTCGGATTCCATATCGAAAGGATTAATTATAGATCCTATGTTAATTACACATTTCTTAAGTCTCCCCGTGAGTGCTGTAAGTCCCTAGAATTTTGGACCCTACTGTCTGAACACCATGTATACACCATATACACAGGGTGTCCCTGCGAATTACGCACGAGCAGCTACCAGCCGATTCCTCATACAAAATTCTGCGAGAAAAATATAGCACGCCTGCAATAACTTTTTCCACTGGTGACTAATTTTTTCGGAAAATCGAATTCCAAAATTCGCTTTGTACATATGCATTCACGACCAACGATAAATACGGTCGAGCAACCGCGTATCGCCTATCACGTTAATAAACGATATTCATGCAGCATGAATAAGTAATCAGATTCGAGGGAAACCCGGGAAAAAATATTTTACCAAGATTTTATTATTTCTGCTACAGAATTGTCGAAACTACCATCCTTGTTACACGCGAAATTCTACTCGTACAGCAGACAAGACGAATTTTCAAATTCCGAGAACGAAGGAATGCTACATTTTTGCAGAATTTTCATAAGGAATCTCCAGGTGGCCCCTTCTGCGTATCTTTCAGGGACATCCCTGATGTACGTATACATATAAATGTACAGCTAATCACGGCACAATTTCACCGTAGTTTCGATCAGTTTTCCGTTTTGGAGAACGCTGGCGATAAATCTTATTTGGTAGCGCCGGCAGCAACGAAATCGGTATATCCGTTCGTTGGTCGGAGAACGAAGTTTGGTAGTAACTCTGGTAAATAGGTCGACCGTAAATCTTGTAGAATTTGAACGTAGTTAGACGTGGCACGTAGAGAAATTACTGTACAAAATGGAAAACTCTGTTCGCGTGGGCATCCGTACAAAGGGCGAGTCGTATATTAGGGCAGAACGAGCCAGCGGGAAATGGACGTGTCCAGGACGTAGATTCGCCGGTCACGTCGAACGCTGGAAAAATCTTTGGATTTTTTTCATAACAAAATACTCTACTCATCGAATCGAACGCGAATATTGCCTTGTCACAGGTCAGCTTTTTATCTCGTCAAACATTTCCGTGATTCGATTGCATCCAATTGAAAAATGTTTTTCGCTCCGCAATTTTCAGTTTATCGATGTGCAGAAAAAAATTTCTTTCTCGTGTATACATATATATGTACATGTATATTTTTTCCGCTTTTTGTATTTTCATACATGACAAGTGCACCCGACCAGCCGATTCCACTGTTCGTCCAGCGTTATTTCGTTCCACCATGATATTCGACCCGCCCTTCGCCGAAACTATAGTGCTTCTTCGCTGAAGCGAACCAACGTGAATTTATTCGGCGAAACGATAGACAAGAAGCCTTGAAATTGTTCCCCGGGATACGTGGAAATTATCTAATGCATCAGACCTGGGGATAATCGGTAGAATCCAGATGGAAAAACGATCGGCTAATTAGCGCGCACGTAAACGGAAGAATCGGCAAATATTCGCAGACCGGCCGCGATGCATATAATTAATCGCGGCGAAATATTCCAAACCGATGATCATCGACGTTCAATTGAATTACTAATAGCATTCGGGCTTATTATCGGGCTGGTGGTGGTCGCGACGATTAATATTCAGTGTCTATATTAATGGTTAACCGCGTGTACGGGCCGATAGACTGCTTTTTCTATCATAGCAACCGATCGAATTAGAATTCTGTGCGTTTTTAGTAACGCGACGTTCTTCATTTTGCCGAACACCTGTTTCGCGCGACGGAAAAAGGAAAATTTGAATGCTTCGCGCGATGAAAAACATGGAAATCTGACTGCTTCGCGTGACGAAAAAAATGGAAATTTTATTACTTCGCGTGGTAGAAAAAGGAAAATTTGACTGCTTTGCGTTACAAAAAAATGGAAATTTGACTGCTTTTCGTGACAAAAAAATGAAAAATTGACTACTTCCCGCGACGGAAAAAAGAAAATTTGACTACTTTCCGCGGCGAAAAAAGGAAAATTTGACTACTTCACCCGCCGGAAAAAGGAAAATTTGACTACTCCACGCGGCGGAAAAAGAAAAATGTGACTACTTCATGCGGCGAAAAAGAGAAAACTTGACTACTTCACGCGGCGGAAAAAAGAAAATTTGACTACTTCACGTGGCGGAAAAAGGCAAATTTGACTACTTCACGCGACAAAAAATGGTAATTTGATTACTTCGCGCGGCGGAATAATAGAAATTTGACTGCTTCGTGCGACGAAGAAATGGAAATTTGACTGCTTCACGTGACGGAAAAATGTAAATTTGACTGCTTCGCGCGACGAAAAAACGCAATTGCAAATTTTCGGAAGTTGGTCCCCCGGGAAATAAATTTATCCGGTCGATTCTGGTCGATTTCGGTGATTCGGAGGATCGATTGATCGCGTTTGCGAATCGTAAGATATCGGAATATAATATAATATCGGTATTTTGACCCGCGACTAGTTGCCGCGATTAATTGCAAGGGAGAGGGTTGAAGAGGATAAGGTTAGAGGATTGGAAGTTTTATCACCTGGTCCGTTTTCAGCGATCTCACCAGCGAGCGGAAGCTACAACGAGACGGCGCACACGCTGCGATTCGCGCAAAGGGCACAGAGCGTGGTCAATCGGCCGGTGGTCAACGAGGATCCCGTGGCGAGGATCATCCGCGAGCTGAGGGCTGAGGTGGCCAGGCTCAGGTCTATGCTACTGGAAAAGGCAAGTCGAGTTTGTTGCCTGGGTCAATTAATATACAGGCTCTTCGCGGGAATACTAGCCAGGTTTTACGAGTGGATGTGACTCGGGAATAAAATACAAGAAATTTATATATGTCGTTCGTTTTATGCATGTCGTGAACTTGTTTTTATCGGGACGTATATGTAGACGGCATAATCGTTCAAAGAGTTGCGATATCTTAAACGTTTATAAGAAATTATATAGACTGTAAATGACGTGAATTCACGTCGGTTAGAAATCAAGGAGAAAATCACGAATCACGTGAATTCACGTCGGTGAAAATCCGAAAGAAAACCACGAACGACGCGAATTTCCATACGTGAAAATTCGAAAGAAAATAACGAATGACGCGAATTCACGTCGGTGAAAAAATCAGGAAGATAATCGCAAATGGCGTGGAATTGGCGTGGGTGAAAATTCGAAAGAAAACTATGAGCGACGTGAAAATTATTCCGGTGCGTGAAAATTAGAAAGAAAATTAGAAACGACGCGAATTCGCATGGTCGAAAGCCAGGTAGAAAATGACGGATGCAATTGCGAATGCGTTGATGCTGGTCGAAGCTGATCCTCTATTTTGCTAACGCATGTTTATCTGCGTGACGTGCACAGATGAAAAACGAACTGCACAAAAGGAAGTGTGCATCAATCATACGAACAAACAATTTTCCCCGAATTGGCTTCGCAATTCAATCGTTTCCCGCTAAATCGACGATGCTGTTTCCATATTATACCGGCGTGTTCATAAACAAACTGCAATAACAGTATTTTTCCCGGCATGAATATTAATAGAAACGAGGCAAATAGAAAAATAAATTCACAGTTCGCCGATGATGCGGGGAAAATCGGCGAATCGGTTTATTTATAACCGAAATCGATTCGCCATTGCGGGAAATCTCGCGTTGCCTAGGAACCCAGAGTCTGGTCCACGAAGCAACGAGGATAAATCGAGCAAGTTTATTATCGAGCCCCGGAGCGGACATAAACTCGTATCGTCGAATCGTCATTACGCAAATGAAATGCATGAATCGTTTATATGATACTCATTGACCGGTCGCGCGATCCTTCCCGCGGATTGGTCCAACGATTGCCGATAAAATACAGTCCGCAGGTGCGCGCGTTTAACGAGTGATCCGCATTTCCATTCCGCCTATTCGCCACGAGTACATTTTACAATATCCTTCGATCATGCTGCGCGTTACATAATCGCTCGTTAATTATCTTCGCGCAACTTCCCGGTCCCGTTTTCGTCGCCATTACTCTGTCATAGGTGTAGGAACTGTGCTGCTTTGATTAGGCGCGGTAACGTTTGTTTATTGACGCGAGGGTTCGGGGTACAATACTCGTCAGGGGGGTAGCAGGTCTGCGGAGGCAGAAGCTCGGCAAAATTCAGTTTCCGGGCCAGCGATTAGGGCTTGAAAGATCTAAGTCAGACTGACTTGGTCCTCTGTCCTTAGAGCTTGTAGCGATCATCGTTCTCACCTTCGCCGCTAGATGGATTCTGACTTCAAAACGGTTCGAGGACTTCCGTTTCCTACATATATAACTTCAGGGCCTTTCAATAGTATCTGGGTCTAAGGCAGGGCCTGCTAGGGTAGCCTTACTGATGTCTACTGATGTCCACTAGCAAGCCCGGGACACATCCCTTCCCCTCCTTTCGTCCTTTCCAGTACTACCACCACAAAAGGATACCTGCGACCCATGCGACATCAACGAACGTAGGGGGAAAGTCTCCCTATAAGGTTGGGGGGCTTTTTAAAGATTATCGAGTATATGGAAAGGAAAGGAAAAAGCCTGCCAACACATGCACGGGAAAAAAAACTATATTTGCGCGGGAAATACCCTCACGAAGGGGAAAGTCGTGGTGACTGACGGGGTTATAAATTAAGGAGCAAAGAGATCTGACTTGCAAACTAATTGCCAGGCCCAAGATTAATCCCCGGAATAACATTGACGGTAGCCAATGACATCCCGAGGACAATGAATTACCTTTCCTGTTAGCCTACAGTGACTGTTGGTATGTCACGAAGGGAAAGACTGGTAAATACTCGGCCTTAGTTTATCCGGTTATCTGGCATAGGCGTAATGGCGGAACCTTAGCCGCCATTACTCCGATCGGTCACCGATTCCCGCCTTTCCTTTCGCGAGTCATTTCCATAACCCCGATCAGCGAATAATCCCATCATGACGAACATGCGAAAATTCTTACCGTCATAGCGAGCATGCGAAAACTCTTACCGTCATATCCTGCGCGAGTCTTAAAAGGAATCTGTTTTACAGAACCCAGAACCGGATAGCAAGTCGTTGTGCAGTTGCCAGAGGAATCAAGCGGACGCTAATAAAGATCGATCGTCGCAAGAAGAAGTCGCGACAGGCTCGAGCGATCGATTGGACGAGCAAAAATCGAAGGAAGAGTCTCAAGAGCAGCGAGTGGAGTCGTTGGAAGAGAGAAAAGGACCGAAGAGCGTGGTTCCGCTTCGCAAATCCAATTCCAGCGACAGCGTGACCACGTACGAAGTCGATTCTTCCGTAAAGAAGTTCGGGTCGCTGGAATTTTTGGCCACGAGCAATCGTTTCGCGGGAAGCTACAACAGGGCGAAAGTGACCGAGTTGAACGACGAGGAGGACGAAGTGAGCGAGATCCACGAGTCCGTGTTCGTCGATATCCCGACGTTAGTCGCTGTCCTGATCAAGCCGGACTATAACCTGCAGGAGTCCTCCGCGCAGATCGAGGAGATCTGCTCGGACGAGGTGGTGGAGGAGTCGATCGACGCGGAGTTCATCGAGGCAAGTAACGATCAGGAGACTTACGACGAGTCCGAGAAACCGGACAGCATCGACCACGACGAACGGAGCAGCTCCGTGAACTCGTGTCACGCCTTTGGCGACAACGAAGCGGACGTTTATCAGACCTTGGAATGTCCACGAGCAAAATCGTGCTTCAAACCTAGAGAGAAGCCTAAGTTTCGTAAGCAGGACTCGGTGGACGCGTTACCGACCTCGATTCTCTCGAATTTGCACACGTCGAAGAAGTTCGGTTCGGTGGAGACGATCCAGAAGAAGAAAGACCCTGTTTTCTTTCTGCGAAGATCGCACACGAGCTTGGAGAAGCAATCCACGGTCCCTGACAGAACGACCAAGTTAAATAACATCAGGGAGATCGAGGATCAGAAGACCTCGACCAGAAGCAACTGGTCCAAGGAACAGTTCCAACGGAAGGGTAGCAACGATTCGGATAAGAGTTTCAGGGAATCGAATAATCAAGTTGGGTCGAAGATAAAGAGCTACCCTGGGAAGCATAGCCTGGAGAACCTAAAACGGAAGACCAGCAAGGACAGCAGCTCCAGCAGTTCCAAGGACGAGCAGATCCTGATTTCCAGTTTGGCTAGAGACAAACTGTTTCGCAGGAAGAGTTCGCTGGAGCAGGAACCCCCTTCTAACAAGAACCACACGCCTATTCAGAGAGCTAAACGCGCCGAGATCGTGGCAGCAGTCACGGAAAGACTGTACTCGAGCAAGAAGAGCGCGGAAGACATCATGGGGCTGCGATCTCCACCTGACACGGGTGACACGAAGTCTATGGCGAAGATGAAACTGCAGGAGATCTCGAGGAAGATGCTAGGCAAACGGAGACGCGTCTGCGTGGACACTCAGACCGACTGCTCGAGGACCGTTCGCATGAAGGACACTGCGTCTCTGACGGAGACGCCACGGATAGTCTGTCAGGACGTCGGAATCCTCACAGACCAGCACGAGATGTGCGAATATATTGTAGATCGAAAGACATCGGTCCTGAGAGTGAAGGAGATTGCTACATCCACAGAGAGACCTAAGACGAATGTCGTCAGATGCAAGGATGTGGGTACTCTAGCGAACGATCTCGAAGAATACGACTATGAGATCCATTCTCCACGCAACGACTCTGGAATCCTTTCCGATGATACCCAAAATTACGCGGAGAGTAACCTGAGCAGCACCGAAGTCTCTGATCTCTGTCAAGAGGCTGACAGGAGAGTGGCGTATGCGGAAAGTTCGACGAACACGAGCATGTTCTCTTCCTGTCGCAGTTTTGCGGTACAAACACCTCGGCCGGAGGTCTACGATCGGTCAGTATCGGAGAGCAAAGCTCCAGCTTGCGTCAGACAGTGTTGCAATTCCAGTCAAGAGCTTCAGAATCATCCTCCGTCGAACAATATCGAAAAAAGCGTCATCTCTATATCCCTGCCAGACACTATCAGCATCACCATCGAAAGCACGAATTCCTTGGAGTCCAGGATCGTGGTGATGGACAACGATCCATCGAGACGGGGTCCAAAACGCATTACCAAGGATGAGACAGCTCAGACCGAAGAATGGGACGATCTTCGTAACGAGATCTTTTGTTCGAGAGATCAGACCACATCGACGCTCGGCCAAACCGACAGCAGGGTGTTCCGAATCGAAAACATCTTCCAGGACCCCAACAACGCGACCAAGAATTTAAGAGTAGATTCGAATCGAACGGAGGGGACGAGGATAAGGAATTCCATTACTTTCAGGAATTCCCTAGGCACATCCTACGTGTCCCAGCCGAAGAAGCACGACGTAGCTCCTGAAAGACCTGGCGCTGAAGGATTTATCAGGGACGGATTAATCACGGAAGCGTTCATCAACCGGAAGAGCAGTTTTAATTCCAGAAGAGCACCCAGTTCGGCCGTTTACCAGGATCCTTGGAGGAACTGGCAAGTTCCTGTTTCCCTGGCGAACACAGTTCATCCGATAGATTATGCCAAGGGACTGGGCTTCATACCTCCTTCCTGGCAACCGGAAATAGGCGAACTTTCGATGCCAGGACAAAGTTTCCCGCGGAGTAACTGTGTTAGGCCAAGTGGTTCTACATTTGGACACTTCCAAGTAGACCCCGGCTTAACTAACGTTCCAGAATCGTCAGAGATGAAGTCTCCCTATTCTACCATTAGCAGCAACTTGGATTACGATCACGGTTTCTCGGATGACAGCTTGGATTATAACGAAAACAGCATGCCCAACGAGTCTGCGACGATGGCGATGATCAAACAGGCGATGAAGCAGCGCGAGATTCTCTGTCCACCTGACGTAGTGGCTCATACTAAAAGGGACCGTGCAAAATCCTCCATTAACCCGGAGAAAAGCGACTCTATCAGTGACTTCGAAGACGTTCAGGTGGAATTCCCAAGAAAGAGTCCCACGAAGTTGACAGACGCTGTCAATGTACACGATTACAAGTCACTGATCTTGGGTAGACCTTTTTACAGTTTTGAGGAGACGAACGATGAACTGGCCGCTTCTCTGAGCCGTTTGAACGATCCTGGGAAGAAGAAGGTATCCTTCTGCAATTCCGACATTCATGAGAAGAAGCTGGATGTCGGGTCTCCAGGAACACTCAAGTCTATTATCAAAAATATGCAGAAGAAGAACGTGTCCGAGTTCCTGAACTCGTCCAACGACGAGACTGACGACTCTCAGCAGGAGGAAAGGATCTGTTTAACCTTGGAGAAGGAGTGGAAGGCAGAGATGCAGTCTGCCAGCTCGGAAGAGGGCAAGGAGGACCAGGATTCGGTGGAATCAGAGGGAAACTGCAGACAGAGTCGCAAGAAGGTCAAGTTCTCCGTGGACGAATTATCGGAGAACACGTGTAGCGAGTCGGACAGCTGCGAGATGGTGGACGAGGAGGACGAGGAAGAGGAGGACCTGCTCGACGGCAGGAACGTCCTCGAGGAGTATCTGAGCGAGGCGGTGACCTTCATGAGAAATTTGAACTCTATCAGCGAGTACGTGAACGGGACGAGCATGCTCGAGAGGTGAGGAACAATGGCGAAGGGAAACATTCCCGGCCCCTAGGTCTTTGATAGGTCGAGAGCCTTCTCGAGGACTGGTGACGGTGCTTTAGACTCCTCTGAGCTCCACTGGTTTGGATTTTTAGATCAAAGCGTTCGGTAGGGACTGCTTCTGTACGATGACACTTGGACGGGACAATCTCTTCCGTTTTAACTTAGTTTTAATTATCTCGGATAGCCTAATTACCCTAGACTCAAATGGTAACCATAGACGATCGAAGTAAATTAACTAACCAATTTCTTTCCAAGATACCCCGCATCCCTGAGCCGTGGACGAGGCGGGAAACGTGGTGCTCGTCGTCGAAGCCGCTCCTCCTCCTCGAATCGCGATTACTCGGAACTCGTGGGTCGTAGGGTCAGCCTGAAGGATGACGACGACTACCCGACGGAAGACGATGATATCGCGGTGTCCACGGACTCTTACGACAGATGTCTGAAAGGAATCCAGAGGCTGGAGGACTGCATTCGAAGGGTGGACAGGCACAACGAGCTGCTAAAGGAGAAATATGGCATCGATTGCGAATCTGCTGGCGCTAGACCTGGTCTAGCGAGTCCCAGCATAGATACTCGCGCGCCGGTAACGAACCAGGACCTCAGGATTCCTCGTGAGACGGAGACTCCCTCGGAAGACACTAGTCTGAAAGCGAATGACGATTTGGAGAAGAAAATCTTCGATCAGCTGATGAGCGTCGCCAATTCCATCCGCTATCGACACTCCAGTAAGCTCCAAGCTCGTTTGCTCGATTCCTCTGATTGCGGATCTAGGAGTCCCAGTTATGGCTCGAAATTTCGCGAGAAATATCGTCACAATGCCAAAGAACCGTTCTACAGGGACGTCAGAGGGAGTCTCAGCCTGGAAGAAGCTTCAGACGCAAACGAAGAGCACGAGGATTTCACCACGTACGAGATAACGGGAAACCTGTCTGTCGGGAGGTCTTGCTCACCTGAGAAGAGTCACAGCGAACTACTGTCTCCGTTGGAGGACGAGTTTTTGCCTGTTAGAAGGTTTAATCGATCCTCTTGGTCTGCTGACATAAATCGCGCGACTTGGAGGACACCTAAACACGACGAACTCCTCTCGAAATACGAAGTGACCGATTGCAGGATCGCTGATAACGCTGATCCCTTAGGGAGAATGTACAACGCCAAGGGATGCTTGCCTACGCAACGAGTGTTGACCGGTAACTCGCGAAGAAGGCTCCAAGAAACGGAGGATTATTCGCGGAGAACCAGGGACGGATGTTGCAGAGTGTGCGCGTCGTGTTCCAAGGATCAGTCGGATATCGAGAGCACGTCGAGCGAAATCGTGCATCTCAGGGACAAATTGAAATATCCCGGAAGTCCCAGGGCGAGATTTCTGGAGCTGCTACGGGAGAGGCGGCGAATCGTAGAGTGCAGCCGTGGCACGAGTGCCTCTTGAACGCCTCCCGTTAGTCGTCCCTTTCAATTGTAAAATGTATTTTTCTATTGTAACGCGTCGACACGACCTCGACAGCGCCCTCTTTGTAAATAATAGAGTTCAGACATTTTCTAACGTTTCTCACCGCACCAGCGAAATTTAACTTATTCATCTTCTCGGGACTCTCTTAATTTCTCCTGTAATTTCTCCCTGTTCGTGGTATTAAATTACTTTCTCTAAGATGGCTCCCTTTCTTCCTTCTTTTAATCCTAAAATTCAGGAATTTGGGTGGTCATCGAAAATTAGGATCTATTGTCTGGAATATTCTTGATATTTATTGTTATTAAAAGTATCTTTATTCCGCTGGTTAATGGATTTAATGTTTATTCAGAATTTCATTTTTAAAATTATTCGAGTGATTGGATTTTGTTATTGAGATTATCTTTCATAAAATTATTTAAAATTAATTTTTATTTTCATTCAGAGGAAAGATTATTATATGTACCTATATATTTTCAATATATTCTCTCGTGGACCTTTGTATGGATAACCAGGTATCCACGTACCCCTATATTGGAACATTCGAAATTATATTTTTCGAAAAATGTAAAGCGACGTTTTGTTCACAGAATGAGATTTCCAATATTGAACAAAATATTTCAAATAAGAAATTCAACATGGAATAAAATATGTCGCTATTCCTTCATCAAAGCACTCAAAGTGTGACTATTAAGGGGATATTTTCCCCTAGAATCTAGGGTAAAAAAAATAAATTTTTTCTTCTTTTTCTTTACTTTAAATATTTTTATACAGCCCTTTAGACAATGGCATCTAACACCGACAATTTTCCATCTTTTTTAACAAAAAATTCCACACAAATAGTCCAAGACTGTACAAATAGACCCTGTCAATTTCAAACCACAAAGTCTTAATGGTTCCCTGCAATAATTTTTGAAAAATACTGAAAAAATCAAGCAAGATACCAGAAGACCCCCTTAACTGCGATTATAAATAAAAATAGGCGAATTTTCATGGAAGATTCAGCAGAAGCGTTAAGGGATGTTAACCCCTGCGAGAAATAGGGAATATTCCCTAGAATTATCCCCAAAGCACCGCAAAACACGCTAGGAAATCGATCGCGAGGGGCCTCGTAAATTCTGCGCGAATCGAAGGTTCACGGTTTCGTTTTATTCTAGCTTGATCCCACCTTGCCTTCTTTCGACGCCACCGAGTAACGACACATTTATTTCCGCCGTATCGATAAATTTCGCAGAAATCGAGACGTATACGGACACTTTAACGGCGATTTCACGGTCCAAGGTGTTCCTCGCGCAAATTACAGCTGACGGTGTCCGCGTTTCGCGCTTTGTTTCGTCGAAGAGCTGACGCACGTGCGCCTGGATCGCAAGGAACGTGCAACGATATCGATGCGATAACCACGCCGGTAATGATCGTGCTTTTCCACCCGGAAATAAAGTCAGCGACGATAAATCTTGCCTTTTTTCCGCGGTATCGCAGCGAGATTGACGCACCGCGCGATTTTCGCTGGCGAGGCTGCAGCGCAGAGGAAAAGCAATCGTAAACTCATAAGGATCGACGAGGCCGGGGATTTTTGATGCGGTGCTAGCAAACAGGCATCGTTACGCTTGCATCAGCATTGCAGAAAAATACGATGCATAGAACTGGGAACACGTGTCAATTTATACTTTTTCCACCTTCGGTACTTTTGTTTCCTAGTTTGCGGGAATAATTGAATTAGGGGTGTTGCAAGAAATTATTGACACCTTAATGACCCGTGTTAAGTACATAGTCTCGATTTTACGTAAAATTTTCTTTATTCGGGGTTAACAGGACAATATTTTATTTTCTGGGTGAGTATTCGAATTTTATAGAATACCGAGCTTTCTCGAGTTTTAATTATTTTATAACTAGTAAGTTCGATAAATATTGGAATTTTCTAGTACTTCTGTATCCTATATTACAAGCACAGAGGTGTAAAGGATAATTGAATTAGGGATGTCGAAAAGATTATTGACTCCTTAACCTGTGTTAAGTACATATTCTTGATTTTACGTAAAATTTCCTTTAGTCAGTGTTAATAGGGTAGTATTTTATTTTCTGAATTACGTAAAACCGTGAGTATTCGAATTTTATAGAGTACCGAGCTTTCTCGAGTTCTAATTATTTTACAATTAGAAAGTTCGATAATTATTAGAATTTTTTCAGTACTCCTGTATGCTATATTACAAGCACAGAGGTGTAAAGGATAATTGAATTAGGGGTGTTGAAAAAGATTATTAACCCCTTAACCTGTGTTAAATACATAGCCTCGATTTTACATAAAATTCTCTTTATTCCATGTTAACAGGACAATATTTTATTTTCCGAGTGAGTATTTGAATTTTATAGAATACTGAGCTTTCTCGAGTTCTAATTATTTTACAATTAGAAAGCTCGATAATTATTGGAATTTTTCAGTACTTCTGTATCCTATACTACAAATACAGAGGTGTAAATGATAATTGTGGCTATAATTATGAAAGTGGTCTAAGTCATCAACTTAAGAGGAACGATTTTATTATTTATTTCGTGCTGCATTCATTTATATTACGACAAAATATATTTATTTTCTACAAAACAGTGAAGAATTGAATCATTAGATTGAGTTTGTAGCTTTATCGCAATTAATTTTATAATTTATGACGTATTTAAAGGCCGTAGCTTTTAATATTTCAGAAGAAAATATAAATGACTTAAGTCACTTTCATAATCATAGGCAATTGAATTAGGAAACAATTGAATTAGGGATGTTGGAGAAGATTACTAACTCTTTAACCTGTATTAAGTACATAGTCTCGATTCTACGTAAAATTTCCTTCACCCAGTGTTAACAGGGCAGTATTTTGATTTTCTGAGTTACGTAAAACCACGAGTATTCGAATTTTATAGAATCCCGAACTTTCTCCAGTTTTAATTAATTTATAATTATAAAATTTAATAATTAATAATTAATTTCAAGCAGTCAGTTTTTCCTTTTCCCTTTTTCCTTTTTCAGTGCTCCTGTATCGTATATTACGATAATAATTGTGTAACGAATAATTAAATTAGGAATATTGGAGAAGATTATTAACCCCGTAACGACCGCATCTGTGTTCAGTATACATAGCTTCGATTTTATGTAAAATTTCCTTCATCCAGTGTTAACACGGTCCGATTTAATTTGCTGAGTTATATTAAACCACGTGTATTTGAATTTTATAGAATACCGAGTTCCCTCAAATTTTCATTATTTTATAATAATAGAATTTAGCAATCATTGAAATTCAATAATCGTAAAATCCGAAGTTCAATAATTCCCGACAAATTTGAGAATTTTCGACATACTATCCCCTTTCAAATATCTCACTGCCACACTCGTACGTCGCTTTTAAAAGAAAACACACACGTACACATTTGAATACTTTCAGGTACGAGTGTAGGATACGAAAATGTTTTCAGAAATCACCATGCACTCGACGAGACAAGGATACTTAAGAGTGCGAGGAAACAAAAATTCCCAAAAAGGGGAAAACGTCGAGAAAGTGAGTTTCCATTGGAATTAAATTTCTCTGAGAACGTTGGAAATTTCCAAGTTACGATGCTGTGAGGAATATGGGAGAAATTCGAAAATGGCATCTGTGAATGGAACAAAGTTGAACAAACTTACCGATCCGACGTAACGCGAGACACGCGAACTATACGAGCCATAGTTATGAATGCAGATAGAAGAAATTAGGTTAGTATATCAATTCGTGTCACAAAGAGGTGTTGACTCTGTTATCTGAGCTCTTCTAGGTCGCTGGAATTTCCATATCCGAGTGTTTTGCAAACCATGTCACATCCTAGCGATCCTAGACTATTATAGTGATGTCACGGAACCAAACGGGCTTCGTTATTGAAACTCTTGGCTGGCCAAGTCGCGAGACTTTGTTCTCTTTGTAAGTGTTTGTAAACTACAGTTATCGGTCTCAGAGGTCTCACGATTAGGCGACCGATAGTCATGTGTCAATGGATGCAACGTCCGACTTGACATGAGACGATACAGCATACAAAGCTCGAAACATACGATAAACATTGCGTGCACGCGTCACGGCGTGGAATTTGTCTGAACAACGTAATTTGTCGCAATCACCCTACGAATATTCCGCTTAATTGGCCAAAAGGTGACTAGATATTGTCATATAGCCAGCTATGCGAATTTGCGCAATGCATTGAAGATTCGACGCTTTTTGCGAACCTGCTGGTTTTGCACGGTTGGCAAATAAGTATTTGCAAGTAAATTTATTAGTAAATATTTATTAGTAATTATTAGTAAATAATATATGTATATATTTAGGCGAAGACGTATTTTCTATTACGAAAGACGTGTTTGTCCTTTTTGCATGATTACGTGATTACGCCTATAGTAATAAATAATTTCGTGCGACAAGTTTGCTACTGATAAACGATTATAAACAACTATCTTGTTTAAGGAAAACGAGTAATTACGCAGATCGGATAAATAAAATCAACCTTCTGCGCGATATAGTGGAAAATATCGGGAAAAAGTGTTTATCCGTGCACGCTATATTTCCAGACATCTGTATAACAAGGGGATTCTCCAAATTTGTCTAGCATTATTTTCCTCTTTCCACCTGCAGATTAAATTCGAGTAGTTTGCCGGAGAACCCTGTGACAGCGTTTAGCCCTTTGCACTCATCTTCGATAGCCATTTAATAAAATTCATTTAAATTATTTAATAAAATTCGAAAAATTTCAAATAACGAAACAATGCGTGAAATATCGAAATAACGGAAGTAAGGAAAGAGCTGCCGAGTATTTTCAAGTTCAAAAACGAAATTTAAGTTATTATTGGTCACAGCAGTGTCACGTAAGCTATGCACAAAGACACTCTCCTGTCTTCATTAGCAAAATACGGAAAATATTATTTTCCATGGTGATAGTTCGATAGTTCGACATAAATCAAAAACCCGAAAGACGATTTTATCGCTTACTTCGTATCGCAATAATTCATACTACGAGATAAAACCATTGCTGGCAAAATAGCGAAGAGCCAAATCGTCAGATCGAGTTCGCAGCTGAACCTAATTAATTATTCACTTTAAGGTATATTCGAGGCGCCAAACTTGAGATATCCCAAGCCACGAATGGAATATAAATCATCAATAACCTCGAATAAACGAAACTTCCTCATTAACCCTTTGACTACTGTGGGCGCCTGAAGGCGCTTAGAAATCTTGCGCTCGTGATACTGTGGGTGCCTAAAGACGCTCAAAAATTTTGTTTGCTGCTAAATTTTAAATATGTACAGTAACCATTTGATGCAGAATACAAAGAAATAAACAATGTTATTTTAATATACTGGAATATAGTGTCTTATTATTAAAATACACGATAATTTCTCAGATATGCACACCTAACTTAAAATTTCAAATGGATTCCTACCGTATGGTGCGTTTCAAAGTCTGCCATAGTCAAAGGGTTAAATACTTAAACAACGTTCAGTTAGACAAGAAAATCGCTAAAAATGATCGAAATGTCTGACAAAAAACGCGACTCGAAAGCGCGACAATTACCATACGTTATCTAGCTCTGGCAACGTTTTATCTGTCCATTCGGGGTTATCTGCAGACTGGCAGCCAGTTTGGATCGTGATTCACGAGGACCAGTCGATATCGAGGTGTCCAGGAGTGCGTTTCCTCTTTAGCATAACCGAAAGCTGCAGCGTTGCTCCGGAGACGTGAACCATGGTTGGTTATCGCGTGTTCATCGGTACACGAAGCAAAGTTCATCGATTCATCCACGCGTTCGTTGCTCTCGTGTTCCATCACGCGACACGCGCAATTCGCTTTTCCAAGACCGCGCGAACAATCGATCGATTCACGTTGGATTGCGCGGATATCACGGGTGGAATATTATTAGTGGATAGCGTTATCGGCGATAAAAGGAAAGGAAAAGCCGAGTGGAACCGTAGTCACGAGACTTTCAATTCTCCTCGAACGAAAAAGGGGTCGAAAGTCAGGGCGATAAGGCGAACATAAGCGCGATACCGCGGCCTTTCACGATCGAATAAGTAACCCGAACGATCGGCGTTCGTGCAGTCGATTTTTCGCGCGTGCCAGCACGCTTCTGACCCGATCATGAGGGACTTGAACAGGAAGTTGGACTGTCAGGACTATGCCAATGGTCAGAAGTTCGACCTGATCGCGGAGAGTAGGAGCAACGACCTCGACTCGTCGCTTCACGTAATTATTGTTGCGCAACTATGACGATTTTCTCCACGTGGATCATCGAAACGGTTGCGTCGTACTTCGAGATGAACTCGCCATTTTGTCCGACCGACTCGCCATTTTGTCCGACCGACTCGCCATTTTGTCCGACCGACTCGCCATTTTGTCCGATCATACGGTTGCGTCGTACTTCGAGATGAACTCGCCATTTTGTCCGACCGACTCGCCATTTTGTCCGATCGACTCGCCATTTTGTCCGACGATCTCGCTCGTCTTGTTCTTGAAATGGGCCGCGTTCGATTGCCTCGAGTTCTCGCTGCGTTTGTTCGCGATACCAACCTTTATGATGCACGGTTCCCGAGCGGATCGGTAGCGAAGAGGGTAGCAGAGTGTCGAATCACGCGCGTTTCTATTCGCAGAACGACGAGGAGCTGGTGGATCCCCAGTGCGTCGAGGAGAACCCTCGCAAGATCACTTTCGAGGACATCACATCGGCTGCCTTCAAGATCAAGGGTGGAATTATCAATACATCATGCGTGGTGAGGATTTTCAAAAGAATATTTCTCAATACCCTGCTTTTATTTCACCTCATCAGGGTTTGGAAATTTCAATTTCGGTCGTAGAGGGAAAAGAGACGTAGCCTTTTTGCTCCCGCGCGAATCTTCCCCTTTGATACTTCTAAAATCCGAACTTTTAGGTTCTCTGTGTTATACGCTGTCATTGTAGCAGAGTAATTCGCGCGTGCACTCTTCTTACGTAAAATAGCTGCCACTGATCCTATCCTACGTCAATGCCTTATCGCTGCGGGCGCATCATTCCGTCTCATTCTGTACCTTCTGTGTCTCGTGATACTCCGCGAAGCTGTCATCCAATAATGAGAATTCGTATGCTCTATTTGTACAATCAGATAACACTGATAACACTATCCGACTATCTGCCACGAGCTGTGATCGACCAATTGATCACTAGAATCACTAGAATCTCTAGAATACCAGCAATTCGCGAGAATAAATCTGAACCTCTGAGGTGACATCATCTCCTGTTGCTCAACGATCCTAGTCCAATTTCGTCTTCAGTCCAGAATACATGCAATGCAATAGTGTCATGATAACGATCAGCCATGGAAAAGAAAAACAAAGACTAAAACACGTATCCTGTTCCTTGGCAGAGATCACGTCTGTCAGATGTGACCGGTATCGACCTATACCTGAAGAAGGACTTCCTCCAGATCACTGGAAGCTTCAAGGAACGCGGGGCAAGGTATGCTCTGATGATGCTGTCCGAGGAGCAGAAGAAGGCCGGCGTGATCTCTGCCTCGTTGGGCAACCATGCCCTTGCTCTCTGTTATCACGGCTACAAGCTCGGTATACCGGTGACCGTGGTGATGCCGGTACTGGCGCCGATCATGAAGATCACCGCCTGTCGTCAGTACGGCGCGGACGTGATCGTCGATGGCCTTGATATGGCAGAGGCAAAGCGTATCGCTTTGCGGAAGAGGGCTGAGAAAGGGCTGACGTATATAAATGGGTAAGGGCGCATTCTACTTACTATGATAACACTTTGTTGCTGCTTTCGTCTGCGGATAGCCCGGCAGACGAGGAAAATTTGACACGTGTTATTGATGAACGTTCGATAAACGGAAGGCTTCTTGCCTGCTTCCTCTTCACCCGGGGAAATTTCTTTCGCTGCTATCGGCAGATCAAAGATTCTCCCGCTTCTTCACTGCGTTTCCTCTTTGTGTTCCAGATACGATCACCCTGACATCATGGCGGGCCAAGGAACTCTGGGTCTCGAGATCGTGGAGCAGGTGTCGAACATCGACGCAGTGATTGTTCCCATTGGCGGAGGTGGTCTGATCGCGGGGGTAGCTTTAGCCGTGAAAACGTTGCATCCTAACGTAACCATCATCGTGAGTAGTTCGTTCGTTTAAACTCCGGTTTCTTGCTTGCGTACACCTTTGCAAGGATGACAGGAGGCGTTGAGACCGTTTCCTTGGCCGGTTTTCAGGGCGTTGAGTCGGAAAGGTGTCCCAGTTTCTACATGGCGCGAAAAGCGGATCGACCGGCCTACACACCTTCGAATTCGACTTTGGCCGATGGCCTGGCAGTTCCCATGGTGGGGTACAACGCCTTTGCCACCGCGAACTCGTTAATCGACAAATTGATCGTGGTGAAGGAGGAGTGGATAGCCATCGCGATTCTGAAACTGGTGGAGAACGAGAAGTGCATTGTCGAGGGCGCTGGTGCGACCGGGCTGGCTGCCATTTTGGCCGGTCAGCTGGAAGAGCTCAGAGGCAAAAGGTTGTTTGATGTTGCAGAGAGTTAATTCGATAACGAAAGAATTTTCTACCTTTCAGCCTGCTTTTCCGAATACTTCAATTTCCTTCGACTGCACAGTCGGATGATCAATTTTCCCAATACGTATTTCGATTTAAAATTTAATATCGCGGGGCAATGATCCTCTTGATGGAGACTCAAAGGCACTGTAGCACTACGGAAACATTCGCAAACGAGTATGCTATGTTCGTAATTATATATAAAATGACCTGTCAATTGATCTTCAATTGTAGTATCTAGATTCTGCCAAGTCCAAACTTTTTTGATATTCAAGTACCGATTTCTTACCGACCTACGTGCCAATTTCTTACAATCATCTACTTCGTTTTACAGCCTGAACGCTGATAAAAGATACGTAAAACGAGAAACCCGTAAATTAAAAGAGAAACAACAAACATCTAACACCAAAAATGAAAAACCCATCAACAGGGTTAACAGAGAAAACGTCACAATTGAAAAAAGAAAAAGGATCAAAATTTATTAGATAAAAAGGTGACAGTGTTGTTAAATTGTAAATAACATCTTTCGTCGTGAGATGACGAAGATCTATAAATGTCAATTGACAGGTCATAGGCGAACATGACAGCTAATCCTCTAACAAAGGATCGCTATCAATATATGAAACTCTAGTCCAAATTACCACAGAGTTCCCCTGCGAATGGCATGTCTGACACGAAAATATGACAATAATACTAACCCTAGATTACTTTGGTTCTCACAATGGTACCGCGCAACCGTAGGCCTAATGGCCATTTTGTTTGCAGAGTGGTGCTGCCTCTGTGCGGAGGAAACATCGACACTACGATCCTAGGCAAGTGTTTGGAGCGTGGGCTAGCAGCGGAAGGTCGGCTTTTGAAGTTTATGGTGACCGTGTCCGATCGACCGGGCGGAATCGCGGAGCTGTGCAGAATGCTGGCCAGCATCGGGGTCTCGATAAAGGATATCATGCACGAGCGGGCTTGGATTATGTCGGACATCTTCAGCGTGGACGTGCAAGTGGTCTGCGAGACCAGGGATCGGGATCACGTGGAACAACTGAAGAACATGCTGTATCAGAATTATCACAGGGTCGTGTTCGGTAGCAACGACATGTCCAGCTCGAATTTACGCTCGCCCCTCAGCGTGTAGCCTGTCCTCCCGAATTCCAGTTTCCTGTGATATGGACGTCGACCAGAGGATTCGAAATGGTGGGAAATATCGCGGGACCGATAGATCGGACATGATTCTTTTCACTGTGCCAGGGCAGGCAGGCTCGATTTATGCGGACATTTAAGTAACCCAGATTCGATTCCCAGGCTCGAGTACTTTTGCGCGTAGCGCGGTGCCAGTCGCTGGTCGCGAAACAGGAGGAAACCGCGAACGTTCCGCATCGATTTCCATTGTAAGCTCGAATTATTGTCCCATATACCGGTTGCGAGCCAAGTCTCTGAGCGTGGATAAAGACACCACAGCCACGGCCGGTGGAAAAAGCGGAACGCTCGCGTTTCAAACGGGCTACCCCTCTGCGTAATTTGCATCCGAAGGAGGGGTTCGATGGCTCGAAATTCGAGAGCCTGTACGCAACGCGCGTTACGCCGAGGTGTAAACGCACACTCGCGAAATTTATTACCGTTACCAAGCCTCCACCTCGGCCAGACTGACGCCCGAAACGACCAAAATTCCACCCTCTTGCTCATACGTCGCTCGCGTCTCGTTTTATGTCGGGATATGTGTCGCTGCCGCCTCTACGAGCACACGATTGCGTTTTTGCCTAAGCGACCGATCGTAAAGCGTTCGTTTACGAGCTCGATAACGACGCCGGCCCTTATTACAGGATGACTAGCTATTCCACAACTTCCGGTTGCTCGTTTCGCTGAAACACGGCTTATTCTAATCGGCGGGAAATGGAAGAGAACTGTCGTATTTGACTTTATTGGAGTAAAAAAGACTGTCCGTGTATTTCTCCAGAGGAAAACACCGCGTAGACCGAGGTTTCGAACGCGAAACTGAGATTTCACGGCGCGTTAATGGCTGCGAGCGTGGATCGAAATACGAAACTGTTCGCGGAGAAATTGGGTTACCGTTTCGCGTTAATATTATTCGTGATACCGCATGAAAATATAGCTCTCGAAGCTGGGCCACGGACAAAATATTTGCGATTAAATTTCTACTGCTTCGCACCGGAAGTTTGTCGATCGCTTTAGACCCCGTGTATCGATTCGAGTTCAATTTCGATTCAGGATGAATCCGGGTAAAATCGTTATATCCTTCATCGACCATTCGTCTGAATACGAGCATTTCCATCTCCAAATATAGTTGTACTTTCTTCGCTAAATTTCTATAAAGTTTGCAACTTTCGAATTCTTTTTGGGAGATTAATTTTGTTACTACTCGAACTATTTCCGAGTTTGCATTTCGGCAAGCCAGTTTTGGATTTCATTCTCTGAACTTCACCTTTTGTAGTCACGAGAAATTTGTATCGATAATATCGTGTAAATAACGCGACATGGGTTGTAAGAAAAATATTCGACGAGATATACCATATTTATACGTTTATTGGAGATACGGGTCGTGGTGGCGCTAGTGAGTTAGGCGCAAACTCGTCTTAAGGCTGCCTTATACCGCTTACTCGTGAAAGGTTGCAGTTATATCTCTGTTTATTACACAAATCTCTAGGAAACGTTTCATCCAAATCAGATCTTCTTTGTAAAAGTATAAAATCATGGTCCACCAATTTTTATTGTCGCATATATACTGCGATAGGAAGCCACAGTAACTAAAAGCGTAGACTTTAAACATTCTACACTGATACGATACCTTTTTGAGATATTTCTGTCCTGTGCTCACTTTTTCCTTATCATTCTAACTTATAACAGCAGCCAACTGTGCTATAAGGAAAGGGTTAGAACCAGAGTCGAGTAAAATATGAGTTCCGACAGGTTGAAGAACACAAATTTCACTAGGACCTGTTTTTTCGTTTTAGAATTTTCGCAGAAGCCTTGGTCTTTCATTATTAACCTGAGCCACGATGTAGGACTAAGGCTGCTGTAACTCGAGATTCGGATTAACGCGTTTTCGCATTTCGGTGGAGTATTGGCGCGAAGCACGCGTGTGTCGCGGGATTAATGCATCTTTACGCGGGGACTGCTCGGTTTCGTCGCGTTACACGCTCGAATAATATATCGCACACGTTACGCCGGAGGTATCCCGGCTCCGTGCTGAAAAGACTCGACTTCTGAAGCTCCTTTCAGCGCCGGCTCACAATACATGACGATATGTCACCTTTCTAATATCGGGCTGCTCCGGATGAGTTATGATATGTGAACCAGCCGAAGAGGGAAGCTGCGAAGAGCCTGGCTCCGCCGGCAATGAAAGATCCGCGGATCCTCTTTTATTTCTTTCTTTTTCCTCGCCTTTTCACGTGCCTCGCTCCAGACGTTGCGTCGATGAAAAAGTGGAGAAAGGAAAGGGGAAAACTGGAGCAACATTGTGCCACCGGGTACGCTGGCTTCGCGGCTACTGAGGCATTGTAAGACGCTCGGAAAAGCAAGCAGCAGAGGTGGTAGAGATTTTTGTCGGGGCTGCCAATGCACTCATTAGTTTGATTAGTAGATCTGCTGGGTAGACTCGCGGGAAATTTAGCACCGGCTATTTTTATTCCGAGGTTAATTCGAAAACGAGAAATGAGCGATGGGAAATAAGCTTATTGGAGAGAAGAACGGTTCCGAGGGACTCGTAGATTGATCGCGAATGAACGATCCACTTAATCGTTTCGAAATGATGAAAGTTAACATGATGAGAGTTAACAAGATGAGAGAGAGAGAGAGAGAGAGAGAGTTTATTCGAAAACTAACGTGCTTTGTAGCACGATTTAATTCTGAAAAACGATGTATCGGAAAAGTATTTAATTTTAGTTAACCATTGTACCTCTACTATAAAATCTACGATAAAATTATACTACAACTTTAGAATTTTTTCGAATTTCCTCTGCACGCTAAGAACGTTAAATATAATTTTCCTCGCGTGATACGCGTGACGTATAATTTTAATATTCGACAAGGACTCGTGACTGCAGTGCAAAGGGTTAATCCTCTGAGCGTTTATGTCTACCGAACTCCTCGTTTGCCAAGTCGATTAATTCCAAAAATCGAAACTGTACAATTATTTAAAATATACAAGTTAAACAACCATCCTATTTTATTTGATTTCATGCTATCATAAAATTAAAAAAGTAAATTCAGCAAGAGTAATTATTCACTTTAACCTAATTTACAGCTCAATTTACACTGGAAATAACGTATATATATATTGACTCATGCTTGATTCATCACATTAATCGACTGGCAGTTTATGTGCTTGCATATCTCGTTCAGTTCCATAGTGAATCGAGTTTCCCGTACATATAATAAATTATTCCAGAAGTTACATATTTGCAGTGCTTTACAAAATTTATGCCAGCATAGAATATTTCAATAACGAGTCGTAAAGCTCAAGAGATTAATTGCAACTTTCTACAAGTAAACGACGTCTCTAACAAATATTGTACATTCGCGTCGACCGACTAAACTATACTTCGCGTATCAAAAGATCATTCAACGGCATTCATTCGAATTTCCATAGACGAACGACGTGTTCGACGAGCACGTGTGCACACGACGAGTGCAAGGAACCCAAAATTCCCATGACGAGAGCCGCCAAATATGCGATTCCTATCGTCACAGAGATCTGAAACCACTGACCAGACGTAACTTCGTCCATTTCTCGCCACGATCTAGCACCTTTTGACCGAGATTGAATTTACACCGAGCAGGGGAACGCGGATTAAAGGTGGGCAAAGTTTCGGCGAATTTTTTCCCGACCCACCCTCAGCCGTCCCTGGCCGGGCTCTTTTTCCCGGTTTCCCGACACGCTGGGAAACTACGGGCGAAACGAAAACGAGAAAGAAAGAAACAGAGGACGCAAAGGCGCAACAGAGAGGGAGAGAGAAAGTGGCGGCGGCCTGAATTTACAGCATTTAATATCGGCAAAATGAAGTACGAGCAGGACGGAGAGCGGGCAAGGAGCCGCCATTTTGTGGCATCGATAAATCCATTTTATTGCCCCGGCTTGCAGGTAGGCGGTCTGACTACGGTTACCGGTAGCCTGCCTACTCTTATGCCTCCTCAGTGTATAACAAACACCGAATAAAAACCAATGCGAGGGCCAGCGTACCCCCCACCGTCTGAACCCTTTCTCGCGGTGCACCGAGAGTACCAACCTTTTCGCGATTTATTCCTCTCTCCCCTCGCGGCGACCCCGTTTCATCCATTCCCGTGCTGCATCTCGAATCAAGCACTCGCGCCTCTTTTTTCCGCTTCGTACAGCGAAGCTTTCTTCTTTCCACAAAGCGGGAAGAGGATTGTCAGGGCTCGTTTGGGACACAGAGTGTCAAGAAATACCTATGTGCAGTTCCCTTTCGGATCGCGCGACTTCAAGCGCCGTACTCTGCACACCGGATTTGCATACCGCTTCGTCGAAAATTTGTGATTACTGTAGGATTGTTAGCTGGTTGATAATGAAAATATGATTTATCGTGAACTAACTTACTCTAGGCTTACGACTTTCACACTGACTATCTCTCAAAGGACTGCTCGTTTCACGCTCATGCACCCTTATTTAACCCTTTCGATACCACGGATGACTATGGCCGCGAGACGCCATCTACGTACGATGGGTGACTATAGTCATTGGTCACAAAATTGAGATGAAAATTAACACTATGTCATCCATAAGGCTAATCGGGATTCTTTCGTTTGGCACCGGTAGGACTGACTCATCATTTGCGTAGGATACCAACGTGGTGTCACTGGCAATTGTCCGACAGTTTTCGCATGATACCAACGTGGTGCCACCACATGGCACAGTGTTAAGACAAGTGCTCCAGTTCTGCTTAGCTCTCTTCGCAAAGAATTGCAAGCGCTATTGCGATGATCGGTTTTTCTTTTTCTTTCTCCTTTTTTATGAAAAAACTTGGCCTCGAATGCTAAAGACTGCTAATGCTAAGGACTGTAACGTTTCCATCTTTAACACAGTGCTTCATTTTAAGGAAGGGACTCCGAGGTGAGGGGCTCCGTAGCGAAGGGGTAAAACCTTGCACTCTGTCTTCTTTCTCACAGCCCACCTCAAAACCTTGTACCCTAAGCATTCAGACGTATTCCTAGACTTTCCTCACTTGCATTCGACACTTATTCACCATAAATACCCCGTTCATACGATCCTTTCACGCGTTCACTCTTCCTTCCGCATGCACTTCAGATAACACTCTGAAGATGACACGCTCTAGTCAAACTCGAGATTGTTTATTATTGTTTATTATCCTCCATTTTCGAGGAATGGCCCAAGCGTTCGCATGCACTCTACAGTCGTAACTACGCAAAAGGTACTGTCACAGGCCTGACCTGGCCTTATGCCCTAATCACGCCACGCTCACCATTCCCACGTTACTCTAAATATCGTGAATACGCGTGGTGTTCGACAAACTTTCGTTTGCCTCGTCGATTATCGAGTTTCTCCACGCTGGGACCATTCATCTATAATATACACAGATGGAAGTAAGTAAAAAAGTAGACTACGTTCCTATCCTATAGTAAAGATCAATATTAATTTTGGGAAAAAAGAGCTGCGAGGTCTGGAACAAGTCATTTTGACCTGTCTGATGGTTTCAGTCTTAAGTAAACGAATGAATTAATTAAAGAAACAAAAGAGGGGAGGGGGCAAGGACGGAGATGAGACGATAAAGCGAAACTGGGCGATTGGGACAGGGGCGAGGAACGTATCGGCGGATCGTCGGGTAATTTTTCGGAATTAGTCGGGGAAAACGGTGGGGAAGGGATTTTCGAGGCGCTGCAGGGCCAGAATTTTCCAGGATGAAAGTTAATTCTGCTGGATAATCCAGCTTCAACGGGAAGGGGTGGGAGGGCTGGTAACGAGGGCGAAGAAAGATCTGTCACCCCTCCTCGCTCCTTTTTCAGCTAAATCTTGGAGCGGATCGAGAACTTGGCCGAATTTATGAGATTTCGGGTTTCGAAGAGCGGCTAGCCCGGGTGGAAAGGGGGCGAACGGTGGAGGGGCTTGGGGGGCTGGAGCACGGCGGAGGGATTAACTTTGTCGAGCCATTTTGTCGACCGCGAGCGGGCTTTGTGACCGGGAGAAGACACATTCCCAGCAATTAGCCAACCCCGCCTCTGTGTCTGTCTGTATGCCGGTGATGTACTGGGTGTTTCTAAAATCGCTAGCCAAACCTTCGGGAAATGTACCCTATTTATCTTGGCTGCGAGTCGGAAGACCTTCTTCTATCGAAATCAGCGTTCTCGCATCGATCCTTGGTTGGCCAAAGTCGCTCAAGGTATTTGGCCAGTCTCGAGGATCCCTCGAAATAGGCGGGTAAGGGAACAGGCACCTGGGTATCAATAATTCGTGATAATCGAGACAGGTACTTGCAAGATCGATCCTTCGTCGTTAATTGACCGTTCGAAAGCTTTCAGTCAGAGATCCTTGAGCGTTATCGAGTTGCTCTAGGTGTAAGCCACGTCACCGGGCTTCTCGGGACAACTTGTCAGACGTTGTAGCGAAACTTCGACGCAAATAACTCGCGACGAAGGCGTCTCCCCGAGTCGCCGAGTTCATAAGACGTTTTTTCACCCTCCGAACGGAATATTCCGCCGAAATTTAGTCATCTCCTTCGCAAACGTTCTACGTAAAGGAAGGCGGAGGGTGTGGGGCTCGGGCAAAAAGGAAGAGGGAAAAAATAGGGGAGAGGAGAGAAGCAAGCGGGACAAAAAGAGGACCGACAAGGGTGGATCAACCGGTGCAGATTAATCGGTCCGTACACCGAGGCTCTGACCTTTCGAGAAGTGGAGAAAAGCAGGAGACACTGTGCCCTCCAGCGTTTCTTGGCGAAAACTAAGAAAGTAGCAAGGATCTCGTATAAAAGCGCGCGGAACGCTTCGGTTAAATGACTGTAGGAAAAAAAGGATACGAATATTTCTTCGTTGGAGATTTAAGCGAAGATCTATCCAAGGGCGGCCTCGGGACCGTGCCGCGTCTGCGAGCAGAAGGACCAGACGGGAGGAAGAAAAAGGGGAAGAAAAAGAAGGGGGAAAGGGCCTGTGGAAGTTACTTATTAGTTTTTAAGCCGCTTGCGTCCTCGTGGAATTAACGAGGAGCAAATAAATCCCGGTCGGAAGGGACAGATTTCGTCGAAGGAAGCTCTGTTCCTGTTAAAAGCACGATAATTAACGCGCAGCCCGGTGTTTCATTTGGCCCACGGGATCTATCGTTTGGACAACGAATTACGCGGCGTCTCGCGATTCGACGGAGTCGTTCGGGCGTTAAAGTTAATGGAAATACGCGGGTATAGTCATCGGGGTCGAAGGTTAAATAAAGCCATCGCTGGAAAGTTCCTTAATTAGTAATAGGACGTTAAGGAGCGGTCGATAAAACGGTTACCGAAATGTCAAATCGAGGAAACTTTGTCCCAACGATGGGGAAAGTCGAAGAAAGGGAAGAAGAATCGAAGAGGGAAAGTTGCCGAGATCCCGTGGACCCTAACCTAGACCTAACCCAGACCTGGAGAGAGATTTCGGCGTGGAATGGTACAGAGCCACAGCGAGGGGGTCGCTTTACCTTTGTACTTTCGTTAATTAAACCACCAGCCCCCGTGTCCCCTTGCCGTTCAACCTTAATTTGGAAATAGGTTACGAGCAGTGGACCGTGCCTTTTCACCGCTCTGGAAACAATGAGCGACCCTTAAAACTCGATAGCGCCAATTTCGCCGGGCCAAGTTCCGTCGGAAAAAGAAAACTATGCTATTAAGTACCATTTATCCGGCTAATCTCCGAACAGGGGCTTCCGATTCGTTTCGCTAAAGCTTCGCCAAGTTTCCTCGCCGTGTTCGCGCCACATAGCTTCGACCAC